GTCCTCGTGCGCCGGGGGCAGTGGAGGCCTGGGCCTGGGGCGGCCGCCGTTGCTTCCAGCACAGAGACGAATCCTGTCTGCCTGAGGCTTGGGGCGGGGCGTCTACTTGGCAGGTTTAGCTAGTGCAGGGGCGTTTCTGATCTCAGCTGCATGATCCCTTCAGAGGACACTTAACGCAGACGGGCCTGGCCCCAGCTGGACTTCTACTGCGGAGGCCCCCTTCCCGGAGCCCTCCGCTGACAAGAGAAGAGTGACTCCTCCTAACAGAGAATGGCTGCGCTTCTGTTTGGTTTCAGTTGTCTGGGTTGTCTGTTTGAATTTATTTTTGAGCTGGGGTCTCACTCTGTCACCCAGGCTGGAGTGCAGTGGCACACTCATGGCCACCCCAGCGCCGACCTGCCGGGCTCCGGCGATCCTTCCGCCTCAGCCTCTCAAGTAGCCAGAACTACAGGCGTGCGCTACCATGTCTGGGCTTTTTTTTTTTTTTTTGATTTATCGCAGAGACGAGGTCTTGCCAAATTGCCCAGGCTGGTCTCAAATCTGCGGGCTCAGGCAATCTACTCGCCTCGGCCTTCCAGAGTGCTGGGATTACAGGCTGAGGCACCGAGCCGGCCAGACTGTTTGGTGTTAAGAGCTCATGAGCAGCCAGGCCAGGCCCGTGCTCGGCTTTGGTTTCAGTGTTCTTGCCATCCACTCAGTAGTGGCCTCAGTCACTCAAAGGCCAGGTCAGCACTCGGCTGCGAGGCCTGGAAGGTGTGTGGAGTGACCCGATCGGATACTGCTGTCTATCCCAGCCCAACCCGGACTGGAAAACAGGGCTGGGAGGGGCCTTTCCTCACCCGGACACACTCTTTGCTATGTTTGACCTTAAAGTATCACACCCCTTAGTACTTCTCCAAAAAGCAAGGCAACAACTCCTGTAACAACAGACCCTGAAACTACAGATATGGAAACAGAACAGATGACAGCTGGCCCAGAAAGCAGTGGCCTGGGTGGGAACTCAGAATCAGTCTTACCATCCCAAGATAAGCCAGTTTGGTTCTGAAAGAGTCAATTTCTTTACGGCGCCATCTGCGTTTATGAGGAGGCCAGCAGAACAAACTTGACTCTAGGGGAAACTCCGACCCACAGATGATCGCACCGGCCAGCCAGCGGGATGACCTGGGACCCGGCCAGCAGCCTTCGTCCAGACAGGTTTCTATGCCCCTTCACTGAGAACCCAGAACCATTTTTTCTTTCTCTTTCTGCCCTCTGTTATTTCCCTTTTTCTTTCTCTCTCTATGCCCTCTCCCACCCCTGGAAAATCAGTAGCTTTTAGTCGTTAATCGTTGGCTAAAAATCTGGAGAATAACTCTTAGTGCATTCTTTAAAAATACCCACAATTCTCATCTAATTTCCTGACTGAAATATTTAAAGGGCTGGCAGTTTTCTAAATCTTCCTAAAATGACTCTTGGAAAAATCAAGGTAGTGACATTTCAAATAACTATATTGGGGTTTCCTTCCAACTTAGCAGACGTGTCTTCTTTCTGGCCCTTTCACCCCAATGGGAAGACTGGCAATAACCCTCCTGAATGTTCTAGACCCAGTGCCGACAGGGTGCTGGGTCTGGGGAGAGACCATGGCACCCGGATGCACTGGGGCGGGCTATAGGGATGACACCGGCAGAGTACAGAGGAAAAGGGCGCCACGCCCCTTCCAGAGTTCAGAGGAGAAAACCAACGAGAACACCTTATTTTTCTAAAAAAGGAAAAAGACATGTACACAACAGGAACATCAGTGAAAGCGATTGTCTCCTGGAAAAGCTGACCAGCGGTCTGACCGCCCTGGCTGAAGCACACGGCTCGAAGACCTCCTGCGTCTGAAGAGGGAGCCCGGGTGGCTGGCACGGACGAGGCCCGGAGTCCCGGCGCGGGCCAGAGTCCTGGTCGGCTGCATGCAAAGGACTCGGCATGGGGCTGCCACCTCTGAACACCACAGAAACGACATGAGAAATTAAGCCAGAAAACTCCTTCAGATGTGAAAACCAGGCCTGAAGAAGGGCAGTGGGAACACACGGGCTCACGCCCACACACGCCGCTCAGACATTAGACTCCACAAACGGTCTCTTTGGTTTGATAGGGGACGTCTGCCCTTGCCGCGAGTCTCGGGACAGCTGCCTGTACAGGTTGTCCTGGTATGCCTGAGCCACGGGGAGGGTCCGCGCCACCTTCACGTCGGGGTAGGAGGCGGCCTGGCTGACTCGCTCCAAGAGGTCTCCACGAGAGCCGTTGGCCAGCATCCCGTGGGGGCTGTAGCACTCATCCTCCAGCAGGTGGCCGTTCTGGGCGTTGTTGGTCTTGTTGTAGAAGGCGATGTTGCTGATGGCGGACGGCGGGCTGCCCGGGGACGTGGGACTGAGGACGGCGTCCACGGATGACACTGCCCAGGCCCGACTCTGCTGGTGGAGATGGGGGTACTGCTGGGTCCGGGCGGTCTTGTCTATGATCCCCATGAACGGTGTGGTCCTGGATCGGGTGGGCTCGCTGGGGTAGCCTCCCTGGGTGGGAGACACGGGCGACAGCTCGTCACACGCCCGCTCGTAGGCTGGCTTCAGCGGGATCTCCATCTGCTGGACGGAGGCGGCCGGCCGGAAGGTGGGCGTCAGGCTGGAGGTGGACGAGAGGCTGGTGCTGGAGGGCGAGAAGCGGAGGCCCACGCTCTGCGAGTGCAGCAGC